TTCAAATTAGCACTTTTCCCCATCCTGTCTGGAATCCTCTGTTCTTCTTCTCGCCTTTCATCCCCAAATTTCCATCTTATCTATCAACTGTCTTAACCTCTTTCTCCCCTCACTTGCTTCATTCATCACTCCCTACTCCCTTGTGAATGTCCAGTGCTTGGTGCCGCTAAATGTTCAAAGATCTTCCTCACAATCGTCCTCCTCTTTGCATATATTTCTCCTCGTTCTATACCTCAGCTGTATCATTCTCTTTCTTCTTTTAGTCCTGAGCTTTTTCTTTCTGTCCCTCCATCTCTGCCTCTCTCGCTCAATCCATCCCTTTCATTCGCTGCCGTCTCATTTTAAAAAGCTCTTCCCCCCCTGTTCTTTGTCTAAGGCGCTCTTTCATCCGCAGGGCTAAGAGCGCTTCCACCATTTTAAATTCACCTGCTTTAGCTGAGGAGAGGTGCAGATAGACGGGCTGAAAAGAGAGAGATCGGAGAAAGAGGAAAGGAAAGGGGGTGAGGGAGAGATCAAAAGCAGGTGGATTTCCCTGAGAGAGGTGGAGACGGCAGGTATCGTGGGAGAGAGACAGGGGAGAAGAGGGGGTGTAGCCTGCGGGGCTGTGCACGGGACTCTCATGGGAGTGGGAGGAAACATTGTGTTGGAAGTTGGTGTGTGTATGTGAGTATTCACATACAAGGGGACTTGTAGAGGTGAGCCGGGCAAGTTCAAGTCCACAGTGCCTTCATGTTATCGGTCTCTTATAAGCATTATAATATAGTTTAAAATTACACTTTTATGTGTGACTATTAAATACAGTCCTGGTAAGCAAGGATGGGCCCATAACAATAGCAAAAGCAGATGCAGGAGCTTCATAAACAGCCTGATTTGTATTCAACCACATCTGCCAGATATGAATTTGCGCCTCTGTTCTGAACTGCAATAAGCACACTCGTCGACAAGCTCTCGAGTGCGTTTTAACCCTGTGTAAAATGCCAACCGCGCTCCCCCTCATCCGCATGAAAAATTAGGGCTTCAGCTGTCGAGCTCTGAGATGGAGCTCGTACACGATTCCATCAAACCCAGACGTGGATTCATTTGGATCAATTAGGGCCGCTCGTTTGTCAGGTGTGCACTTTAAGCGATCGTTTCCAGCCCGAACCCTTCCCCTTCATGCGAGATCAGAAGCTTGAGCTTAATTCAATCCCACTGCCGCTTTAATTGACCAATTTAGCATTGTGCTGAGAGAGGCTGTCCATTTAGAATGAGGGATGTGCGGCTCAGGAAATAACAGGCCTCTTAATACTACACAAGAGCAAATAGGAGATTTGTCAATGTTGCCAACAAATGGAGGGGAAGTGATTAGGCTACGCTAGGTTAGCTTAGCATATAGTACATTTACTCATATAGAAGAATGGGGGTTTTGGATCTCTTTTTTTTCAGTGTCATAGTCAGAAATAGAATCGGATAGAGGGGCTTCAATGCTCAACAAAGGAGCAGACGACATCACTGATGCAAGACAAATGAACACAAGGCAAGTTAGCAGAGCTCATTGTGTAGCTTGCTTGGTGTTTGCAACATTCACTATTTGAATGTCAAAGAGTCGTTTTTTTTGTTAGGGGCCCACCAACGGATCAGCGCTCATCAAAATACAGTACAATACCGACTTAGCACAGCAGGTAACCAGAGCCACACGGGGAACAGTCCAATGTATAGTTAGAAGTTCAAAACCAAACACCCGTCAACACATCTGTCACGGAGCCCTGATAATAACTATTTCTTTATTTCCTTTTATCTTCTATTCATGTCAAATCAACCTTGTTAGTGTACCAGTGACTTTGAAATAATGAGCAAAATATCAGCAGGTAACCAGGGCCAACTTTCTGTGACTTTTATGATCACACCTTTTGATTTAAAAGACGGTGCCATTATGTGTGCCAGCGGTAGGCCCTGTGTGACAACCCCCAACTGTTCGATCTTTGGTTCATAGAAGTAACCCAGGGACCCCTGTCAAGAGCAGCCTCGGGATCTCAAAAACCTCTCTTTTAGCCTCGGCAAAAACCCTTAAAAGAAAAAGCCCACCCAGGGCCATTTGGGGACGTTCGATAATTCTTATTCTCTTGTCTAGGGGTGGGCTCCCTTTTTTACCCCAGTACCTCCTTATTCCTCCTTCCTGTCACTCGCCATCGCCCTCAGCCACTCAGAAGGCTTGAGCGGCTGTAGACACGCTCCCCGTATGGCCACGCTCATAATGCTAATTTAATCCGTTCATATTCAGATGCTAATCGAGCTATGCTAGCTTTTGAGCAGCAGTGTTTTATCAGGCTCCACACAATAGGCTCTGATTCCTCCTCTCCTCGGTCAGTTAGGAGTGCTTAATACAATCCGCTCTCCTGGTGAGGTGCGTTTGACACTTCTGCACTTGGCAAAATGAGTTATTTATTGGCTACTATTCATTTCAAAGGAGTGGAGGTGAATAATTTAATGGTCCTCCAGAACTGCTCTATCCTATCATTACTGGATCCATTTTCAATGGGGGGGGGGGGAGAGTTGAAAGGGAACTCTTTTCATGCACATTTTTAATACTTGTTTAAGTGTTTAGGGTACAACTGGATGTGTCAATCACAGAAGCATCATTTGGAAAGAAATTGCTGAAGATTCATAGTACAATTCCTCTACGTTTTTCAGTTGCACTACTTTTCTCTGTTCACCCATGATCCATAGCTTTTTACATTCCTCTCAATCAAAAAGAAAAACCTCTATTTCGATGAGATTCAGTTTAATCTTACTACCAATTACACTAAAAGCACCCTCAATCACACAACAAATGATCCCCTCATGGCCCGAGCCACATTAACCCTACCGAGAAAAGGTGCTTCATACTGCCTCATACAGACAGTTAAACCCCATTTCATTGCCAGACTATTCTCCCTATCTGTAATAAATGGGGGGCTGTGGAATGAGGAAAGGCGTATGGAAATATTTAATTAAGGAGCAATCATGGCCGTGGGTGATTTTCTATTTCAATCTAGACAACCCTTAAACGGAAACAGTGGGAATTCTAATTAGATTAATACCACTATGCAAATTTATGGCATTTTTGAAAAGGCAAGGGCCACGACGTAATCAGTTGAGTAAATAAGTGGGAAGGGTGTGTGTTTTTTGGGATGGGGGGAGATGCGTGTCACTGTGCGTGAGTATAAACAAATATGAAACATGATGGGCTGATGCCAATGCCAGACACATGTCCCACCTATTAGCATGATACAGAGTAGACACCTGCACAGTCCCAGAAACATGAGGAAGAAAATAGCAGATGCATGGGAATTCATAAAGTCACAGCCCATGTGTGTGGTTCCTGTTCAGAAATGTGTTTCTGTACACCTTGAGAATGCCTGCATCCTTCAGTGTATAAGAGCCTGCCGCATTTGGATCTTAAATTCATTAGAGGACGACTTGGCTCTGAAACGAACAACCAAGCTTTCTGGAAAACAGGACCTTCCAGGAGTCTGTGTGGGCCTGAAGTTATTACAGCAACGACATTACCAGTCTGATCTCATCAGACACCACACACTGACGTCCGGGGGGCACAGAGGGTAAGCAGGCCAGAATACCAGCTCCAAATGGGATTCTTATCTCAGCATCTCTCGTCGCGATCAGAGTCACTGCTGAAGATGCAACATGCCATATCTGTAACTTCATTAAAAGTGTCCATTACATCACTCTGAGGCTGCATTAGCTCAGCGAAGGGAGCAGATTTAATCAAAGTTCATTGGGCTAATACCAGCAAATGGGCAACTCTCTTGTCTGCGTCACTTCTCATACCTTTCTTACACTTGGTCTGTGAGATCATTGCCATACTAGGTTCTCTAAATTGTCATATTTTAAAGTCATCTCTCAGGAGAATACATACATTTTTCTGTATAAGGTATTTTCTATTGAACATTGGAAATTCAAGAGTTAGAGCAAAAATCTGATGATCCAAAAGGAAGGTGAATTAACGAATAGGTACCGTTGTTAACCACCACACCCTTGGCCAGCTGAGCTAATCATCGTCGTTGCAGCGAGGGATTTTCTATAGGGGGCAGGGAGATGGGGGTAGTTGTTTAAGGTCAGAGGAGAAGATTAGTTCAGACATCCAGGGTTACAATGAGCTGTAAGTGACACAGCAGAGAGAGGTGTGGCTCTGTGTGTCAATGTCTATGTGCGTGTGTTTGCAGACAATCCTCGAAGGAGGCTCATCTAACATCCAGAGGGAAGCCAGGACGGAGCCCTGCGGTACCCCAGGGGCCTCCGAGCCATCTGCTGCCCCAAGACTAATACCCTAGCAGACGTTTCAGCTCCCCTGGATCAGCCGTGGACGGACAGGAGGGAGGGTATCATGTGGGGCAGGGTGGAGGAGTTGGGAGGAATCTTTTACCCCAGCAGGGTGAATTAGGCTCATTGGACTAACCTAGGGGTGTCGCTCAATGGGAGGTGGAGATTTTCAGCAGAATGTGGATTAGGTGAAGCAGTCGAGTGTGATTGGGCAGATAGCTGAGGGCATCTAGAGTGTGAAGGAGACTAAGTAATCTCAAGAGGCTGAAGACTCCCTTCGCCATGTTACAGCACTACTGTGTTTGCCGTTTGCTTTCTTGTGTTAATAAGACCCACACTGAGAATTAAGAGCTGAACAATTCTGGAAGTGTTTGTTTTATCAAGTGGGATGGAGGTATTAATGAGGTTACAGTCAGTTATTGGAAAGGAATTACAGTAGACCATGGCATAATGAATTAATCATTGTAGTATCATTAGTGTGCGTCATGGGTTATGAAAATAGGACTAGAATTACCATCTCATATCCTGATCGTTCCTCATATATGGCACGTTCGATTTTTCAGCTGTATGGTAACACAAGCCTCCTGTGGAGGTCGGAAAGGGCTGGTATATGTGTGTGAGTGTGTGAGTGTGTGGGTGGTGGTTTATCTCATGCAAAGTCACATGAAATAGAACAAAGACATTCAGTCCTTGTAACTTACGATTGGTGGACACTGCAGTTGTAGAAGACAAAGTCGACACTGGCAAACTTCTTGCCCGTCTCCTTGGATTTCAGATAGAGCTTCACCACCCGCTTGTCACCTTAAGACACATGAATATACAATATTGAGTACAGAACAATTTCATTTTAATCTAATACTATCATAATGTAAATTTCAAATACAATGTAACAAACAGCTCAAACTAATAAATGAAGAAAATATGTACCGGTATGTGAAATTGCATTCATTGTCATACCCTGAATTTAAATTCCACTGAAGTGACCTCCCCAGATACAAACACTCACTCAAAGAAACAGTAGAGCCTAGCGACACTACACTCATGTCACACCCACAGTTAGGTGGCTTTAAAAATAGCAGCACCAATCAGTGTTTGAATGCCAGAGCTGATGAGAACTCGTAATGGGGCATAATGGGCTCCAGTGAAGAACTACTGAAATGTGGCTTTGAGGAAACTTGGAGCACATCGTCTGACATGTTTTCAGAGCTTTGGTTTAGAATACCAAACAACTTTCTAACTTCTTTGTGGCTTGACAGAATCTGACATGAAACAAGTGCATAATCTGTGCAAAAAAAAAGAAGACAGAATCAGATGTTTTGAAATATAACGTTAAACCATGCTGAAGTCAGTGCTTTGAAAAGAAGTTAGAAGCAGAACGAGTGTCTGTTGGATAGAAGAAAAATACAAATAAAATGAATCTGACAACAGTGCATAATGCATGGTAATGGGAATTCAAAAACAGTTCTATTTTCAGTAGATAAATGTAGACTCGAATTTGGGGCTTTGAAAAGGAATGGGCGAGAGTTATTGGTGTCGACAAGGTGTTCTGAATAAAGACACAGTAAGCAAATCATGTGGTGCGATTTAAATTCTGTTCTGGTCCATGCAAAGCTGTAGATTTCTCCAATTCTAACGTACAAAAAGACCTATCAGGAGGAGACATATCAGCTCCTGGCGAAAAACACAGGGTATAAGGAGCTATATATAGCAACAGTGAACAGAAAAAGAGGACTGATGAGAGAAAGTGAAATAAGCAATTACAACACACGTATGTCCATGATGACTTTAAGTACCAACATGCATACTAATGTTCTTTCATACATCATGAAAAACACACCCTGCATGCCCCAGCTACCACCCAGTGATCTCACTACCCGGATGACTTCATCACCCGACAGGCTTCTCTGTCCCCACCTTTGTTCCTCGTAATTGGGATAATATCCCGGACGGAGGGAGACATGCAGAAGATGTGTCCACCCTGGATCCGTCCCTCCGTCTCCACATAGTCCTCGAAGGAGCAGTTGACCCCCGCTGCCAGGTCGGGCACGTTACGAGCCTCGAGGACCAGCTACACAGAGGAAAAGAGAGGGACAATCAGTGCAAGATCAATGGAAGGACATGGAGAACATGGATTGTTATAAGATATGACATGAGGGTTAATGGGTGCTGGGGGAGGAGGGTGTGTGTGTGTGTGTGTGACAGCAGCAGGATTAAAAGGAGGGTGGGTGCTTGTGTGAATGCGTCAGTCAGTGCAGCTATTACAGCAAGGTTAATGTGTACAAGTTAATGTGCAGAGAGGAAGTGCAAAGACCCTATGTAGGTACATTGAGGAGCTGCTGACGGAATGGGAGTGATCACACACACACACACGCACATTTCTTAGACTTTTCGTGGCTAAAGGCCAGCAGGGGCATCATGGTCATGACAAAGAGGCCAGAGAAACACAATGTCAATCCATTACAATAACACTGTGCCGTCTTTCTTCCATTCCATTGACAAATGTAGAATTATGTCCTGATGTGATTTGCAGTTGCCCAAAGCAATCATTAAACACCTGTACCACTGCTTTTGTTCTGAGAAGATTTGGTGTAATAAGTAAGTATTTCTTCAGATAAGTGTTTTCATACTTCACTGTTTTATATGATCAACTTTTTTTTTAACATTCTTATCTCTAAGGAGCAGGTGGAAACAAATGCTGGCTAAACTCTAATGGGTCTCCGAATTTAAGCTACAAGGCTTTTATGGACTTGAGTTTATCTCCAGACTTCATGTGTTATTTTATCGTTTGTATTCTTGAACTGCTACATCTACACAACAATTGGCACCATAGGACATACCTGGACTTCAGACATGGTGACAGAGATGTTTCTCGGCTGAACAGTCAGCTCCACGCACTGCCTCTGATCCGAGGCGAACCTCTGAGGCTCTCCAGCTCGTTCACAACGGTCCTTGCGTGAACAACTAAAGAGCGCGAGCAAGAAAAGAGAAAGAGGAGATGGAGATGGAGGGAAAGGAAGAGAGAGAGGAGGGAAGAACAGATGAGTAAGAGGAGAGAGGAGAGGAACAACTGTTAGGCTAACATGACAATCATATTAGGATGACAAACATGCACAGCCATCACTGTCAAACAGAAATGGGAGCAATAATACAAGACAAATAGGCTAATAGCTTCTCTCCCCATTACTGTAGGCCTTTATATCATTACCTTATTGGTCCTGACATTTGTGCAACATTGGCTAAGCTATATGAACACTATGTGCCCCTCATCTTTTTACTTTACAGCCCCACCCATTTCAAGCTTCTCTGAAGATTTACAGGCAATCATTAAAGTTCCCCTGAACCGTTAAAATTATACAATTCCTACCAGCTGCATATCAACGGGATCAGCAATTTCCCTCACTTATTACAAGCCAACTGATCAGCTAAAAATCACCATACAGACCCATATTGTAGTGGTTTTACTATTAGCAATTCATAATGCATTAGCTATCACTTTACCTACGCACTAACAACAACTGGTCCCGGTGGTGAAGGCAAAGTGCTGATGCGGCGCTCTGCAGGGCCTTTACAATAAGAGGAAGGCTGAAAAAATTGCTAACTGCCTCCTATGAGCGGTAGACCCCCATCCCAGCCCTTGTTTAGTTAGCCTTCAGTCGTGCTCAGCAAGAAAAAGCTGTCGCCAACCGCACCCCTGAGAGACACTAACACACCCGCACAAACACACTGTAGAGGCATGAGCAGAGACGCACAAAGGTATGTACACACTTTCTCATTATGGAACTGCTTTCCTTCTCCCTTTTCTCTGGTGTGTGACTGTGTGAAACTGTGTAAATTATTTCTAAGAAGCACATGCGTGTTGTGTGTGTGTGTGTGTGTGTGTGTATTCCCTGTTTAATTCCCCTGTTGATTGAAACTTCCATGGCTCTTAATAAGATGTGGTCAAAAGCACCAGAGGGCTGAAAAGAGGCTTATAAATAATTTGCCTGCTAATATTTGCCCATTTAGTCTGTGGGGGCCTTCGCCAAGTTTGGCAGCACCATCAGGTAAGAAATGAGCGAGCTGCGTTCAAGACACAAGGTCAAAAATGTGCCAAATGGAAGTCCATTATGATGGTGAGTGTGCTTTCAACAATATAATATAATATGCGTGTCGGCTAAATGTTGAAAATGGAACATGTGTGTATGTGCCTTAAGGAAAGACAGGTTGGTGATATGTTTTGTAAGTTTAATTAACACACAGAGAGATGGCATTATGCCAAATGCTTGAGGTGCTCTACATATGGTTTAACATTCTGTCACCTTTCGATAACGCGTAGCTGTGCTCACACTCTTCTATTAGCACACACGCCCTCAAGTCAAAGGGAAGAAACTGTGAGATTACACACAGAAACTGTGTCATTGAACGGCACCACACTTTTGAGTGATTAGATTTCCTTGTACTTAACTACAAATCTCTACTCTCACTGTTTAATATCTACTGTAACCTAACCCTGTAATCTTAGAGCAAACAGGAGATCTAGTCCATAAACCAAACACTTACACTAGAAATGACTGATCCTTGATCTGCTGCCAAAACTTTCCCACTTGAGTATTAAGAAGCAGACTTATGGAAAACCATGTTAACAACACAGACAAAAACAAGCTAAATACCACTGGTTGAGTCGGTGATGCAGGACGCTGAGCAATGTGGTTATTTATGTGCTTTTAACAGGTTTAACCGGTCAACAGGATTATACAGGATAAATGTATCTCTACTGGAAGGGAGATTTCAGGTAGATGAACTTAGATTTTCTGTGACTAATTGATAGGTGTTGGAGGCATTAGATTAAAGCTACAACAAAGAGTTAAAAATAAACTCAATTCTTTGAAAGACAAAAATAAAGGTAATACGTACTGTGTGTTAAAAACCAATTTAGTTTAAAGAAAGTACAGATTAGATGAAGAATTTTAAGATCTCCTGCATCTCTCAAGGGAAGGACTGATCCCACTCAGTGGAAATTGTGCCAATTATATTTTCTCTAGCTGTAGGACTTGGTAGGCCTACATATGAAAGATTAACAAAGAAATGAAATATGGAATACATTAAAAAAGTGCTGACCTTGCTCAAAACAGAGGACATGATCTTGCCTTAACGCAATGATGTTGATAATATAATAATCTTAAAATAGTCACTACAAAACAAAATATGAAATATAACATGTGATTTTAAAGACAAAGTTCTCTTAAGCTTAATGTGTTACTATTCTCGGGGTATTTTTCCACTTTGACCAGATCACCTAAAGCTCCCTAAATCTTCTCCCACAATGATCTAACAGTACACTGCATGTGAGGGGTACCAGGGTGAAGTGTGTTAATGTGTGTGCATAAGTGTGTGTGGTACTTACACATTGTGAAGGACACACCATCCACAGTGAGGGTCTCTGGAGCCCAAACACTCGCCACAAGTGGTGTACTGCTCGCAGCTTTCCACTGGAACTCGCACCACCTGGAGAGAGAGAGAAATAATAAGTATCCTGGTTGTAATCTACTTCATATGATGAGTGTTGTCCTTGTGTACATTTTTCAGATTTAAGTTTAAGAGTTAGTCTAGGAGATGTGAGTCTGTGTATGTCTGTGTGTGTGTTTTTGTGCATGTGTCTGTTCTGGTGACTGATTCTTGTCCAGCGGTGTATGACAGCCTCCGGTGAAGCGTGTACAAGAGAGTCCTCGCAATGCATGCTGGGACACCTGACAGGTGGCTGTGGCTACAGAGCTGTGATTGACAGGTGACCTCAAAAACCGGTGGGAGGCAGAGGAGCAGAAGGACAGACCCCCAGTGATTGTGTGTGTGTGTATGTGTGTGTGTGTGTGTGTGTGTGTGAGAGAGAGTTTGTGTCAGTCATTCACTGCTATACTGAATGTACGAGCTCAGTGACAGGCTACAGATGTTGCCTAAGAAACCAGATCAAGTGTTAAAGTTAGCCCTCAACTCTGGTTTAAGGTGACGACAGATGGTTCCCAGTGGGTCTCAAAATGTGTGTGTGTGCGTGTGTGTATTTTAGGATATTCAGCAAGCCCTTAAGTGAATTTTGGTGTGTGAAAGACAGATTGCTAGCATATGCACATGCGTCCGTGTGTATGCGCGTGCTGAAGATGTCAGCGCGCTACAATCAACGTTTCTTCACCAACAGGCCTGAAGATGATGAGTCGTTTGATCAAATCAAAATGCCACAAACAAGCTTTAAATCATGCAGCGAACAGTAAGCCGGCTGGTCAGTGAGTTACAGCACAAAACAACCCAACCCTCGGGTAACGCTATTATAGAGCGCACGCGCGCGCACACACACGCGCGCGCACACACACACACACGCACACACGCACACACGCACACACACACACACACACCAAGTGGTATGTGGGGACTACAGCAGTATCTGGCCCAGTATGGTCTGACTTTTTTATGAGCTTTTGATGGGAGGGGGGAGGCAGAGAGATATATGGAGGGATAAGAGAAAAGGAAAACATATGGCAGAGAGCGCACAGGCCTGAGGTAAGAGATAAAGCTGGTTAGCTCCAGGACGGAAACCAGGCGGACACAGGAACGCAGCACTGAAATATTAAACCAAGGCTGGGATTCCTGTGTGAGCGTTAAGTACAACACAGATATGAGATAGATATGACATAATGGAACTCATAGATGCTCTGAAATGTCTTGTATCAGAGCGGCTGCTGAGATATTAACAATACTGCTCGAACACAGCGCAGACTGACAATAACACTTGACACTACATGTCGCTTAGTTTCCCTTTCTTTCATTCATTCTATTTTCTTCTGTTTTTCCATTACTCTCTATGTGCCCTTTGTTTGTTTTTCTGCCCGGCGATTGTCTCAGAGACTCTTTTTTTAACCTCATTCATTTGTTCAGATGCTGTTTCTCCTCCAATCCAAAGTCTATACAGACCTCACTACAGTAGTTTTGAAAGCTGGCTATCTGCCCAGAAAAAGCCCGACGAATGAAATGATGCAAACAAGCAACACGGTGGACCGGAGGGGGGGAAGAGAGGGAGGTGGTCATCTACTGCAAGTACTTCCTGGATGGATGAACAGAAGGAAAGAGAGGTGCAATGGAAGACACACAGGGCGAATTGGCGAGGACATTGTGCTGAGTAGATGGGATGCGGTGGCAAACGGCTGCTATGTGTCATTGTCAGAGCGAGTGAGAGTCTAGTTTTCATCTGAAAGGAGAGCTGAAAGAAGGATGGAACAAGGGATTGGAGTGTCTTAGATGATAAAAGGATGACAGAGGAGGGAGGAAGAGTGTGAATGAATGAGAAGATAATGGGAGAGATGGATGAGGGAAGAAAGCAGTTATGGTTGAGAACATGTGATGGGACACCTTGAGTGAAAGAAATCATCCCAGACCGTCTTCCAAAGACTTTATGATAAAAAAAAAAAAAGATGTAGAAAGGGTACAAGAACGGCCTGTTCCTCTTATTATCATAGAGGCAAAACCTCTCCCTTCTCAATTAATCATTATGACTATGATTAAGGACAATGGGAACATAAATCAAACTAACACGATGGGTCCTTGGTGAGCGAGGATAACCTTATCCCTGCCCTGTGTAATCATGTATATGCCCTATTGTTCACTATTGTTCCATAATGAGAAGTAGTGAAGACACTATGGGCTCTATTGAGTGGGAGTGGCTCACAGGTGTTGATGTGGTATGGGGGCAATGATGGTTGTTTTTCCCTCTGAGGATATAAAAAGCTGTATCTGAATCCTGGGAAAGTACTAGTATTACTGCATGTACATCCAAACAATGTGTGCCTGCCTGTGTGTTGAGAATAATGCTTACCCACACACACACCCTCCCTCGCTGTCTCCCTTTTTTCTGGCTGTCTCGATGGCTCTTTTAATGAAAGCCAATTCCCCTCAGCGTGCCACATTACTCCTTTAAATGACCTTATAAACCAGGGCCGCCATCTCCACTCTCTTGCCATCTCCTTATTTACAATAGCATCCAGCGCCGTAACTCAATTCTCTCTCCTCTCTCTCTCTCTCTCTCGCCAGTCCTTTACCCCAACTGTACCTCGATGCCATGACATCTCCGCTTGCTATAAACATTACACCTTTCCCTTCCAATCTGCTTTTACAGAGCACCATCACCTGCCTTTAAACGTCCAGCTAACAGGCTTTGAGACGGTCACTCCTGCCCAAAAACCCAAAGGTCCTGTAAAGCTTTCAACACAGCTTTTCATTGGTTGTTAAATCTAAGGACATAAAAGGATTCGACTCGTTGCGGCTTCCTTTTTTCTAATATCCAAACACACAGGGAGTCTATATTGGAGGAGAGAAGGAGGGGGTGTAGTGGAGATGTCTACAGGCGAGAGTCTTTTCTCTGGGTTTCGCTGTCTGGGTGCCAAGAGGAAGAAGACTCAGTTTATTTTCAGTTATTTTTAGATATGTGCATGAGTCTCTGCATCATAAATTAGTAACGGCCGTGCCTTTTGACAACTACCACTGAACCTCTTGTGCCTTACACTTAACCTCGCATGGCTCTAATCCTGCAGTTTTGGGACCAGTAGCAGAGAAATCTGGTTTTACTGGAAAGGGCCCAAAGGTTAAAGCGTAGGACGTCAGTTTAAAGAAAGAGCAGTCCCTTTCTTTTGACTTAAGATACATTTAGGAAAGCAGCATGTGTTTGGAAAGAAAGAGTCACAAGGTCAGTTTTTAGGAGAACATTTCTCAGAAATCTCATAAACGTGCGGGCTCTTTTATTACCCCATCCTCTTTCATCCAAACCTTACTCTGTAATCTTAACTAGCTTTGGTGAGGCGAGACATTTTTTGGGGAGAAAAGAGTCCAATTATGCTAGAAAATTAAATACAAAAAAATATTTTTTCTTAGCTTAGGGCTTTCTTATTTAACCAGCAGTCTAAAGAAGAGGCAGAAAACAAGGGGAGAAGGATGAAGAGGAAGAAGAGGAGGTAAGGGTTAAAGCATGTGATCATCCCTCTATCACTCCTCCATCAAAACTGACACCTGCATTATTTCAATAACCCTCAATCATCTTCTATCTTCTTGTGCTTTAATCTCAACTGAACTGAAGTGAATGGGTGATAACATCTATATCTACCAATACTGGCACTTAATGCAGAAGGATAACTGAAAGCCAAAGAGAAACACAAAGACAGATATAAGTTCTTCTTTGAGGGTTAAGCTGTAGCTATAAAAGAACTGCAGTGAATGTAATCCATGTAGTCACCTTCTGTTTTGGTATCAGGGGTCATGTCTGAAATACATCATTAGTAAAAAAGAACTCTACCTGGATTTCGCAGCTATTCTGGCTATGCAGGAGTAAAAAACATGGCTCCTTACAGGGTGCCCATGTAGGTGATTGAGTTCTTCCAGCGCTGGTTTACCTGCACAGGGGGGTGACTTTAGGGTGTTTTATCAAAGGCTGGGTTAGCATTTGTGCATTGACTGGATTGTAAGGGGCTTAGGAGATCAATGTGTTGACTGATTGGAGATAAGCAGGAGAGCAAACAAGACTTAGAGGGTTTGGCGCTGAAAAGGAAGGAGAGAGAGAGGCGATGGAGTGGTAAAAGGTTGTACAGCAGGAGAAATAAAAGAGAGAAAAAAAACGCAATTGCATCATTTTGTCCCATAGAAAAAATGATCTGCTGTCACATTCAATTTGCTGAATTGTTTTCCAAGCACTGAATTGCTGCTACACTGCAGAGATGTTATTGACAGATCTGGTCATTGTGGTCAACTTAAATTGTTTGCTGCAGCCCTGTTTTAGTGAATAAGGTCTTTTAGTGTCACTTTGGAAGAAAATAGTGCACACTGTGATAGCTGTAATCTTTTGTATTCCCTCTCAAAATTCGCTCCCTGCAGTATTTTTTATTTTTTTGCACCCACTGCCCTTCCTCGCTATCTTTATCTCTCTCATATTGTGTTTTGTCTGCTGTTTCTCCCTCCCATTGAGCTCTCCTCTTTCGCCTCTTTAATTTATCGTTTCATCCTCCTTCTTCAGCGCTGGGCTCAATTATTCATCGACTCCATTGTTTTTTTTTGCTCGTCTGAAATACTGTTTTGATCTTCTCTTCTATGCTCCATCTCAGTGAAAACAAGAGGCAGATTAAAGAACCTATTTATTTGTCATTTTAGCGTGCACATCACAGAGTCAAGGCCAATGAGGATGACAACTCAAATTCCCTTCTCCTCAGAAACAGCTCAGTGAAGTCTTATACAATGTACACAAAATACACACATGTAAGACTGCACTGCTGTTGTAGGGGAGCTTTATCAGTGTGTGTGTGTGTGTGTGTGTGTGTGTGTGTGTGTGTGTGTGTGTGTGTGTGTGTGTGTGTGTGTGTGTGTGTGTGTGTGTGTGTGCGTGTGTGCGGTACATGCAAGCATTCAGACTTTGAATAATTCTTTAACTCTAGAAAAAAGCTGCTGTCATAGTTCTGGATGTTTGCCCATAAGTAAATGAT